TACCCCACCGACTGCAGGCGCGCACACGAGAGTCGGAGGTCAGCCTACACCACCGACTGTAGGCGCGCACAAGAGAGTCGAAGTCAGCCTACACCACCGACTGCAGGCGCGCACAAATGTGTGATAGGTCTACCTGCCGCACCCACTGCAGGAGCTGGCGTGTGTCGCTCTCACACTCGCTCCGACACACTTTCCCCTCTTCCCCAGAGCAGTGCGCCCTTTGCCCGGCGCATGACGTCCACTCCCCACCGACCCTCTGCCTCTACCTGCCCGACATTCCTAAAGAGTTCCCCCGCCTCTCTGTACGATGCCGTGCGCGCAAGTCTGAAGCCGGAAAACTCTCGTCTCGGGAGTGGATTCATGAATCCTCTGACGATTATGTTAATGGGTGGGTCCGTGCCGCTCGCTAGTGAGGCCAATCGCCGACCAGCCCCGCACCACCCCCTTCTCTCCCCTCCACCAGCCGAGGCCTCCCGCTGCCGCGTCAAAATAATTATTACGCTCTCGACGGCGCAAACTGAACTTCAACTGCAGCTCAGCGCGGCGGTGCCCGGAACTGCATGACGCTGCGTTACAGCAGTCCTCGACCGCTCTCGACACAATCCCCGCAGTTGTGTTGAAAATAGAATTATTCCAACTTCCGGGTTCGATGATTCACAGCCTTTCCGATCATTTTATGCCCTTTTAAAACAACAGCCATATCCTGCTTCCTCGCAGGTCCGACACGACCCACATATAATCAACGACCCCCGAACCGTAGCATCCACGATCAGGGGGACGCGGGGGGTTTGCGGGGGGCAAGGAGTGAGTGGGGTGAGAAGAGGGTGTGGTGGGCTTGTAATCCCGCGACTAAGTAGGGCCCGACTCATAATCACCTTGGTCGTGGTGGCGGCGGCGGTGTGCGGCACGGTGGCACGGCACGGGGAGGTGTGTCCCCGTCGCCCTGTGCGCACACAGAGTTATTCGCAATTATTTAAGAATTGAGCGCACGCGCAAGTACACACGTGTGTGCGTGCGCAGACACACACACACACACACACAGAGAGAGAGAGAGAGAGAGAGAGAGAGACCGCACACTTGTACATTCCGTGCTCGTGCCCAATTAGCGGCGGGGTACAATTCGACAAAGCCTGCCGCGCCATTCATATTTATTAGCGAGACACGCCTTCTTTAATTCGTCCTCCGCATATTGTTTAGCGCTCTCTCCCCCTCTTCCTCTTCTTCCTCCTCCTCCTTCTCGTCAGATCAATTCATGGCGCATCTACAATGATCCTCCTGCCTGCCCATCCGGGTCGGCCCGGATCATCCCCTCGGTGACTTTATTTTTATTTATTCATTCAAGCAGAGCTCCCGCCACGCCATACTGCCCCCCTCCCCCGGTCCCCTTTTCCCTCTCTTTGTCTTTTATTTCTCCAGTCCTTATTATCGGAATAGTGGTCGCCCTCCGGTCGGTCGGTCCTCCTGTCCGATTCAAAGGCCGGCCCAAGTGGTCTGGCCGTGTTCCGGGACGGGCGGGGCGGGCGGAGCGGGGTGGGGCACCATAACAGTTATTGTGTCCTTCCTTTGTGGGGAGGGACCAGAGCGAGATAGGAGGGGGGGGGGCGGAAATGGAAATGGGGTGCGCCTACGTCTGGACACCGGTGTTCGACAAGGTGTCTGCTTGCTTCCCTTTGGCTTCCGCGTGGCGGTGTGGCGGGTGGCGTGGCACGTCGGCCCGGCCCACCTGGAGGAGCGCTCGGGCCGGGCTGAGAGGGGGCCGAGGCCAAAGTGATTAATTTGTCCGAGATTGCTAAACCTCCCTCAGCCAGCCGCCACCATATCCCTGAGCCGGGCCTCGGCCTCAGTCTGGCCTCGGCCGGGACGGAGCGGGAACCAATCCAAATGAACACCCTGCGGTCGCCGCCGTCGGAATTACTCGGAGATAGCGCCTTCACTGGGAAGTCTGCGAGACAGACAGGCACACCGGTAGACAGACAGGGAGGCAAACAGAACGAACGGAGAGAGATGTATAGTTGTTTTTTTAAGAATTTAGTTGGGGATCAAAATAAAGTAAGAAGGGAAAAGGAATCAGTTTCTGATTCCTATAAGATCTTGTTAATTAAGCAGTCTTTTGTTAGTGTCCCAAAGTCTTGGCCAAATTGAAATTAAAAGAGGAAACGAATTCCAATTGGATATACTTTAAAACTGGGGGTTGGGGACTGGATACGGTTACAGAGACGATTTTTCTAGCGACATGGAGAGAAGACCCTAGCACTACAGTTGTTGAAGTACAGCGAGTAGGCTAGGGCAGCGTGGTCAGTGCGCACGATGACGGCAAGGCGCTACGGCGACAAGGCGGGCGAGCGCGCACAATCTGGGATGCCAGTCAGCCTGCAGCCAGCTAATTCAACTTGGCGCCTCTTCCTGTCCATACAAAAGTTAACAGTTCGACACCCGCAGAATACGAAGGGGACGTCCCCCAGCACCCCCTCCTCTTTCCCCTACCACCGCCGTTCCCATCCCCACCCTGCCACGTCGCCGGCTCTGTGTTCTTTTCACGCTCAACACCCCCCTCTCCCCTCACACACAGGCGCATCTCTCTCTCGTCACACCTTCCCTGTCTGCCTCCCTCGCTCCCTCTCTGTGTGTCCCCCCCTGAGAAAGACGAATAAAATGTCACTCACGAATTCTTTTTGAGAAAGAGAAATTTAAACTTGAATCTACGGAACTGACGTGACACCTATGCCCTCCCCCACTTTCCAGAGAAGACAGCCACACAGACAGACAGACAGACCGACAGACAGACAGACAGATGAGAGGGGGGCTGGTGGAGAGGCTCGCTAACGAGCACATTGTTCTGTGCTGGGCATGGCATAGGGCGGCCGCCTGAACGTGTGCTGCAGCAGTGTACGTCTGTGCATTTAATTCAATAGGGCTACCCTCCAGGTGATAATTGTCGGACCGCCCGGGCCTGGCCGCGCCGAGGGGGAGGGGCCGGGAGGGCGCCAGGAGCGGCGGGGGGTCTCCTTGAGGGAGCCAAGAGCGCCGAGGTTGATGGGGCCGCCCGGCCCGGCCCGGCCCAGCCCAGCCCCGCCCCACCGTGCTTACTGTTGTGACTACCCTGCTGCCCGCTGCGCTGAGGGCGAGGCGCAATGAAACCCCAATACAGTAATGACCGATATGTTTCAGCTAATTAAATTTTTCCAACGTGTATCCTTGCCCCGCGCGCCGTACGGCCTGATTTCCCCCGGGGGGACAACCACCCCGATCGCACCTGCAGATCTGGTCCGAGGCGAACAGAAGAGCTGGCGATGTGAGCGAAAAGAGACGAAGAAACGCGACGAAACTGGGTTCTCACATCGACGCCGTACGGCCGCGGCGGTGGCGCAGTACGTATTGTATATTTTATTTATTTATTTTTGCGCGGTGCGGCGGCAGTGCAGCGGGCCAGGCGAGACGAGCTCTTCGGAGCAGGGCCCAGGAAGGAGCGAGACACAGAGCGAGAGACAGAGAGGAGAGGAGGGGGAAGGAGTGACGGAGGAGCGGGCAAAGCCGTAATCCCGTCTGGGAGCCTATTACTTCGGGAATCGGGAATTTCACGCATGCGTCGCGACGGCAAGGTTAATTGGTTGTCAGGCCTCTGCCCCCCCCCCCTTTTCCTTCTCCTGGTGCTCTTCATCCTGGTCGACCTCACTCCCGCCACACACGGCACATTCTGCTTAGGACATGAACGTACAATAAACCACCGTTAACTCATGATGATTAAAAAACAAATAAAAGCGTACGCAGGTCGTCACTTTGCAAGCACCATTCCCTTCGCAACTCTACGCAGCAAAACTTCTCAGGCTTTAAACAGTGAACGGTACTTTAGAAGGTACACAAGCTACGCTTGCTCTCGTCACGCGTGCCCCGCTTTCCCCGAACCCGCCTGCGTGACCCCCTACCCTGCCCCCTTTTCTTCCTGGGCCCACGGTTTTCTCCAGCCGAACTTTGCTGCTGCATTATTCAATCATCACGAATGTCGAGTGCATCGTAAATATTATTTGAATTCTCAAAACGTGTCGTCCGTGCGGCGCGCGGAGCAGAGTCGTGGTGGAAGGGGGAGGGGTTAGGCGCAAGGGTCGGGGGCGGGACCCTCCCGGACACCAGCGAGCGCCTGGGGAGCGCGGCGGGCGCTGACGGCAAAACAAACTTGTCTGCGAGCGCCCCACTTTCTTTATACGTCCCTCTATTTTCAATCCACTCGCCAACTATTCTCTGCCCCCTTTTTTGTGGGGAGAAGCTCGGGAGGGGAGAAACACTGAGAGTGAATAGCTCGGGCGTGCCTGACGATGGCGCGGCGATCGCAAACGTTCACGCGTTGTTATGACTATATCGACTTATTTATTCTTCATGTTCAAGTCAAATAGCTCAATGTAGCCAGTAAGATGCAGCACGAACACGCATATCCTACGGGGATTGAGAACGTTTTACAAGCGCCTGCAGAACTCGGCGTGTAGCTCAAAAAGGCGTCAGCGACCCCATTTCCGTTAAGCGGGATATTTGAACGTGATTCGATGGCTGCCTACGCCATCCGTGACTTGTGACTTGCTTTACTTTCACTTTTATTGCGTGGCGTGGCGTGGGGCGGCGTCAAGAGGGCGGGGCCGCGGGGGCCGCGGGGCGCGGCGTAGGGCGGCATGGGGCCTTATCGCCGTGATGCGACGGAAAGATGTTTACGAACCTCCTGCTCCCAATCCAATATGATATGACAGACAGCAGAGGCGTGGCGGGGCGTTGCGCAAGGAGGAAAGGAGGCAGAGGGAAAAGGAGGGGAGGGGCGAGGGGGCCGGCCTCGGCGAGCATCTTTCGGCGTCAGAGACGTTTTTCCAGGCGATCAGTAAGCAAACTGCTCGGTGCAGACGCACTGAGCCGAGCCCCCTCGGCCCCTTGCTCTGGCGCAGCCATCCATATTCGGTATCGCACGTGCATGGTCGGGGCGGCGCCTGGCAACCAGCCGGCCTTTCTTGTTGTCGTGGCTGTCCGCGCTGACCGCGCACCATGAGGCGACGGAAGCGCGCGCGCCGCGAGGACAGCGGGGGCAGCGAGGACAGCGAGGAGGACGAGGACAAAGATTGGGAGCCCCGTGAGTTACTAGAGAAACCTCGATCGAGGGGGAGGAATCGCCACAACATTTTTGTCCTCAACTTGCTGTCCTTGGTCCTCACGATTCGTCTCTCAACAGAATGTCCGAGTGAAACCAGAGCCCTCCTCAGTCCATAATTCGATTTCAGGGGCTGAACTAACGCACCATTCGGAAGCATGATATTCATTCGTTCTCTGATCACCAAACCTTTGAAAATTTCACTGACACCGAACAATATAGACAGTTAAACATATGATGTGGAACTCTCGAGTGTGAGGTGCTCGCCCCCTCGTCAGGGTCCCCGCTGCGGCCGCCGCCCGTGCGCTCGCTCGTGGTGGGCGGCGCGGAGGCGTCCCCGGGCCAGTTCCCGTACCAGGCAGGGCTGCTGGTCACGCGGGGCGAGCGGGGCAGCGAGGGCGTGGCGCGGTGCGGCGCGGCGCTGCTCACGGACCGCTGGCTGATCACCGCCGCGCACTGCTGCAGGAAGGGGTGAGTTGCACCTGTCACGCGAGATACTTGCAGGCAGTGTGAACGTCACGCCGAGGGGGCCACCACTTCGATTTAGGACGTACACACAGGATTACGTGATTACTGTGATTCGCTGTGATTGCACTGCATTTCGAGGCATTACCCATCAATTTTATTGAATTTCTGGCTCTAAATCCATTAAATTTGGACAGTAGGGTAAAATTTAGTGATGATGTTTTAAAATTTGGTTAAGGATTGCACGGAATACAAAAGGATTACACCCTCACCTGTACATAGGATTCCGCGAGTGGTGGCCCCGGCCCCCTCGCGTCACGCAATGTCAGTTATTTTTGCTTACCGGGTGTATCAGGGCGGACGCTTCAGAGCAGCCAAAGAGGGAGTGCAATCCCAGGCAATCCCGCAACACTGCATCACACGCGTTTGTTTTGATACAACCAGTGCTTACTTTGTCCGGATTACGACAGAAACTATCACAAGGCTATTAATTTCGATCAACTTTGGTAAACCGCGAACAAACAGCATAGATTTCTGAGGACCTTGCCTGATTTATTATGCGCATTATGCGGTATTTTTATAACATTATTCCGCAGGACCAACATCCGCGTGTTCCTGGGTTCGTACCCGACCATGCAGGACGCCCAGCAGCAGTTCGACACGAGCGTCGTGCTGATGCACCCCAAGTACACCCGCGACAACCCCGGGCACCACGACCTGGCGCTCATCAAGCTGCCCAAGCCCGTGCGCTTCAACAGTGAGGAAGAAACCTAGTTTCCTGGTTATGTGGAAGTGGAGTGTAGTGCGCAGGTGTAGGACAAGGTATTGCAGGTAAGGTGAGGCCCGTGCGCCTGCCCGCCTGGAGGCACAGGGGCGACGACTTCGCCGGCAAGGTGGCCACCCTGAGCGGCTGGGGGAAGACGTCAGACGCGGGTGAGTAGCGCCCCCCGGGCATGGTGTCCGCGACCATAGAAACAGAGTGACGTTGCTCTCCCCCAGACCAGCGACCGTCCAAAGGCACGGCGGTGCTGCACTTCGCCAAGGAGCGAGTGCTCACCAGCGAGCAGGCCGAGTCCATCCTGGAGAGGAAGATGGCGCCGTACTTCCTGTGCGTGCGCGGGCTGCAGGGCGAGGTGTCCTGCAACGTGAGCGCAGCCACCTAATGCTAGCTCAGCTCCCTCTTCACCCGGAAAACTGAAAAGTTGTCGCAACCGCCATCGTATGGTTACTTCCAGTCCAGGAAAACCATAAGACATGGTTGAGGCAATTAACAACAGCGCACAGGTGTATCAACCAAAAATACGATTTTCACCACTTGCGGATCGTTGTCTCAACCATATGTTATGGTTATCCCTGAAGAAACCAAACGATGGTTGCTGCAACTATTCATTTCCCCACCCTGGGTGTGCCCTGCACGCATGGCCGCGAGACCCACCCCCGTGTCTGCCCCCCGGCGGCAGGGCGACAGCGGCGGCCCGCTCACCGTGGAGGCGGACGACGGCCGGCCCATGCTGATCGGCGTGGTGTCGCACCGCTACGGCCAGCAGTGCGACCGGAGCCGGGCGCACGTCTGCACCCGCGTCACCAGCTTCCTGCCCTGGATCGCGTCGGTCACCAGGGCGGCCATCGAGCACTAAGGCCATACGCGTCGACGCTCGCGCCGTCCATAGAGGCGAGCGCGTCGGACGTCGTGTGGGAGGTAGCTTGAATAAAGAATGGCGTGCCATCAGCGTAGGTGCGGTGGATGACAGGGACGGCCGAGCGCGCCGCTCACCAGGCCACTGCAAGGACGGGTGGACTTCCCTCCTGCTTCTGGTCGGAGCGGGCGCGGCGCGCCGGCTCCTCATCGGATGTGTGCCGGAAGCGGGCGCCGGAAGGCGCGCCCCGTGCCCCGCTCCCCCCCGCCGGCGCGCTCCGGATTGTCTTTTTGGCGGCAGGGAATCAATGTGCGCCTCGGGCAGGGCGCGGCGCGCACAAGAGGACAATCAACATCCAGCTGCTGGAGGGCGCGGGCCCGGCGTGCAGCGGGCGGCAGGACCGAGCCGAGCCGAGCCGAGCCGAGCGGGGCTCAGGTGGGCCCCAGGCCCGCAGTCCGACCCGCCGCGCGCGGCCCGGGCCCCGGGGCCGCGCCGTTCATCAATCACAATATTCACAAGTCGGAAGATGAAATGCAGGGAACAGGCTGTCGAGGTGGCGGCGCCCGCGCCGCGCGCCCCGCCCTCCTGGGCCGGTCTCGGCGTTAGCGTGCGCTTGGAAAATGGTGTTTCGCTGTTATTCTTTCCCTCCCGTGAGCTAACTCGCGCCCGGCGGACTGGCCACGGCCGCGCTGCTGGCAGCTCGCCGGGCCTCCGGGCGCGAACTCTGGCAGGCCAGCCTCAATTCAATCCTCCCCGCCGCCGTGGCAGCAGAGCAGGCAGACAGCTCGATGTGCTGCTGCCACGACGCACGCCCGATGGACGATGCGGTGTCGTCGGGCGTGAGTCTGTTGTGATGTGGGTGTGTATGTGTGTGTGTAAAAGCGCGAGAGAGAGACGGACAGACACAGAGAGACAGAGAGAGAGAGAAGCCGAGAGCGTGAGTGATTTCTGGCCAGCCGCATTTACTGTATCGCGCGTTCGTTCTGTGGATTTCGCAGCTGTGAAAAATCATCCTCGGGCGGGAGAGAGTGCTGCTGGCACTCCTTCCCCGCCCCCGCCCCGCCACCAATCCGCGTGATAAATGTAGCCCGGCTGGTCGCGGGTGCGAGCGCGAGGGAGAAAGGCGCCGCCAGACGGACGCGCGGAGGGAGTGCGAGCGAGAGGGGAGGCGCGCGCGTGTGTGGGCGGGCGGGGCCTTGCCGGGAGCCTGCGGGGGGCCGAACCTGTGATTCATCATGGCACACCTCGATCCATACACCAGATATAATACGAGTCATCTGCTCCCTCCCAAGGCCTGTTCCTCCAGCTTGCACTCTCCGTTGTGCCCGATATCCGTTGGCGTATATAGTAAAGAGAGAGTGTTTTTCGACCGGTTTCGACGCACTGTAAACTTATTTGGATTGAAAAGGGTCGGACATAGTAAGGCACTTTATTGGTAGAATAACTGAAGAATGGGCAGAAGCAGCACAAGTGTTTTGTTGGCAGAGCAATAGCGAAGCCTATTACTCCAGTGACTTTGGCAGGTTAATGTAGGAGAACCACTTCACGTACCAGAAAATCACGACCACAAATAAGGAGGTGGCACTATGACGAAGGTCCATCGTAAGTGGCGTCTCAAAGTCAATTCGATCCGGGCGCGACCCGAAGTGGCTTGGTTGAAGCACGCTCGGCTCCGCTTCGAAATGCGGTAAAATGCTTCGCTTACCAAAGATTGCTGTAACGTGCAAACTCGTCACCGTAATAGCCAGGCTACTAGTAACAGCCAGCTCAGAAATCCCGAAACGGTAGAGTGGCGTGAGTATTTCGGATTTATTTTAAGGGCGCCAGAGGTAGAACCTCTCCAAAATGCATCACGAAGGATGTAGCACAGAATTTTATTGGCAAAGTCAGGTAGTAACACAATACAACAAGAAGAGCATCAGGGCATCAAACATGTTTGATACATTAGGAGAAACCTCGTTCTTTACCCAAGTTTGGTCTGGTGTGATTATGAAATGAAAACAGAAAGATCATTGTTGTTAATGACCGCTCTTCAAAACTTTTCGCGCCGACGCAGTTTTAGCTTTTCTCAATAGATGGCGCTGTTCGCGCATGCGCTTGATTGTTTTTTTCGTGTTAGAAGAATTTCATTTGAGATAGGTTTTAATCATTATGAGAGCCAAAAAAGGTTATAATATGATTGTTTTAAGTTGAAACATTAACGGCTAGCCTACTTTTAGTTGTTTAGCCAAATATTTTCAGGTAAAACTTATCTCTATTAAGATATTTGTCCGTGTAGAAAAACCGTCCGAAACGCACGCTCGACCGGCGATTTTTTCGACCTTATTTCTGAAATTTCTTTCAATTTTGCGTAATAAACCGAAAGAAACGTCTATTATGGATTGGTGAGGCCGCCAAGACCCACAGTTTGATACAACTGGCATAGTTGTAGGTGTTGTGGTTACCGAGATGAATCGAGTCGCTAAATTACACCAGACCAAGCACAATACTCGTTCTCCCACCTCCAAGAGGGAAGTGAGAGTGGAGGTAAAGAACGAGTAAAAAGTGATAAATGCTGCTGGTACGAAATGGGTAAACTTGAGTAAAAAGTACATATATAGTAGCAAAGATGACTAACAAATCAACATTAGACTAGAACGCAAAGCGCACTTCTGACGCTATACAAATCAGCATACTAGCATAAAATCAACAAAACGAGTTATTCATCGAATACACGCCTGCTAGATAGGCAACCCATTAATCTCAAAACGCCGAGAGGGTATGCAACCCAACTGGTCCGCGGACAATACGTCAAAGAACTCAACAGCGCAAAACAAATCCCTAAAAGACAAAAAGCTCAAGTGCAGGGGGAGCGGACAGGAGCCAGCCGGGCCCGCCGCAATCTACGACGAGCAAGGACCTCGCTAACGCCCTGCCCTCCCACACTCACTAATAAGAGCCAGCGCAAAAGTCACAAATCGAAACGTCATCGCCGCGGAACCAAAAAGATGAAAGATGTCGACAGACAACAGAACACTCATACAGAGGTACAAAACACTTACACGTGTTTAGCGATGCGGTGATGGAGAGGAGAGTTTCACAACAAAACGAGCCGTCCCGGCCCCGGCGGGGCGGGCGGCAAAGATCGACAAACGTCAGACTGCTGGTGACTTCACGGGGCGGACCGCCGGTGAGAATGAAAACCTAGTTCTACATCGGTTGACTCAAAGCGAACACGCCATCACGGCGAATAATCCCATAGGGAATAGACCCGAAGGCACACACCGTCATAAGACTAAAACTTAGACCCTGCAAGGAAACGACAACATTAGCACACGGATGTCTCACTATTTAGTTAAACCCGGGATGGCAAACCGCACTCACCAAGCACTATGTGCGGGTAGCGCACAGATGTAAACTAAAACCATAGCAGGTGCTTGGGTCGGGCCGCCGAGGCAGACCCTCTCTCGCCGCTGCAGCTCGCTGAGTGACCGGGCTCCAGCGTCCGGCCGCTGTCCCCCGCTCGCCTCACTCGCTCTCGCTCGCACCCATTGGCCCGGCCGGTCAGCTGACCCCATCGTCTGCTAGACCGGCCGCACCTGAGCTGGCGCTCAGGCGATCAAGGCGGCAAAGATAGAAAAGTGACGCGCGTTTGAAGTTAAAAGGAAAGGCTGCGGCCGCAACCCCTCTACCAGGGGCGGGACCGGCCAACTAAGGCAAACCCCAACCCCCTCGAAATTCCGCGCGTCACATCGCAACGCCAATGCCGCACCCATTTTGGACTAGGCAATAAAGCTCCTTTTTGGATAATACAAAACTGGTTTTACCAGCTCGTTTTTTTCAAGCCAGGGGTGAGGTTTGTTATTGAGCGGGCACGCACAAGCGTTTTTATGCCGAATTTTATAGCACACTCTTTTATATGAAACCGAAGAGAGCGTGAATGTCAAACAGTACGCTACGCAGCGCTACGCACTCTCTCGCACGTCTGCCCGGTTCAGTGTCGCACAATGGCGCGTAAACAATCGAGTTGCGAAGACAAATAATTTGATTGTTTTGAGGCCCCAGTGGGCTTCCACCCCCGGCGAGGGGGCGAGGCGTGAGGCGTCCGCTGAGCGCAGCTGGCGAGCGCTGGGGAGCCCGCTACCTGACCTCTTGGCTTACCGGAACTACTGAAACCGTCCCATTTCGAACACAAAGACTCAAGTCCCTCTCTCTCTGTCGCTGAGGATCCACACCCTTTGCGAAAATAACGGCGTAAAATTTGATTGCAGCGCGGCTCCCCGGGGGCCGGGTGTCGTCGCGCGGGTGTGTCTCTGGCGCGCCAAGGAGAAGCCTCGGCGCTCAAATCGAATCAGCTGTTCCGCCGCCACCTTGTGGGTGTTGTCACCCGATCGCCGGGACTGTTCCTGCCTCCCCTCCCCCTCTCCTTTTCTTGTCGCGCCCCCGGCGGCCCCTGGCCCGGGCGCGGAGAGCGGGGCGCGGCGGGCCATCCCCCTGAGATGCCCCCATTCGCGGAGAAATGAAGTTACTTTCAGAAACTGACTTCCCTTCACCCTGTCCCGCCCCGCGCCGCCGCCGCGTCTCCTTGTGAGGATTGCGCCGCCTGCCTGTCTGGTTATTGTCACCGGCTCGGCTCGGCTCGCGCTCTGCTCGGCGGTCTCGCACTACCGAATCAGGCGTCAGCAGTCTGAGCCCGTTACTTTTCAGGACTCCGCTGTGCCAGCAGACGCCCGACCTGGCCCGCGGGGGGACCCGGATGGAGCGGGGCTTTCCAATGGACTATTACCACCGCCGGGGTAGTTTCACTCTGAATGGACCGGAAAAAGTTTGCAAATGCCGTATTTATCGTCCATGCGGCTGGTGTGGCGGGGCGCGGTCGGGTGGGGACGTGGACGTAGCTGCGAGACGCGTCAGCAAGCGCGCGGTACAATGGGGCCTCGTTCTGCCATTCGCGCGCGCGAGTGCAGCGGAGTTTAAATGTTTATCTAAGTCGGGATCATTCTTCCAAAGGGGGAGAGGGAGAGGAAAGAGGAGGGACGCTACGAGCGAGCAGTGCTCGTCAAAGACATGGTGAGGGACTGGAGAAGTCCTGGAAGCTCTAATTCAGAAGACCGTCACACTCCCTCCCCCCTGCCCCCACCCCATCCCCATCTCTCCTCAAGACTGGACAGGCGGACTGTGTTTTCTTCGTCAACTCGGACGAGAGCTGATGGCAGTCAAACACGGTAGGCGGATGTGTGCTCCGCCGCCTCCGTCGGGACGGGAGCGAAAGAGTTGGCCGAGTCTCCACTCCACCTGGGCGGGCCTGAGCAACAACACGCGCACCAATGCTGGCGGGCCGCTGACTGACGACTGCGTCCGCTCGTGCCCCGCCAGCAGGCTTTGCGGAGGCAGCCCCGCTGCGGATGGCCTCGCCGGTGGCCCCGCCTGGCCCCGCCTGGCCCGGAGCTGAAAAGCAATTAGAAGGTGTGCGGTGGAAGCCGGCGGTGAGCTCGTGAAGCTCGCCAAGCTTTGAGCACTTTGTCAAACAGCATTACCGACCACGTGGTCCCACCCCGGCCCCGGCCCCCACCGAGCCACGCCACCCGGCCTCAGCCCGGTGAGCCGCAGTGGCACGGGACGAGGCTCTCCGCTTCTTTGATCACAATTCGCCCTTCAAATCGAGTTATCGCCGTAATAAGACCTGGGTGGTATTGCATCTCTCGCGCCCCGTAGCGCCCCCTACCTAGAGCGGGTGGGTTGACTGAGCTGAACAGGCCGCCTTTAACTCCATCAATGATTCGTCTAATTGCCCCATGGCGTGGGCCCAGGCGCGGCGCCTCTCCACACCTAGAGCCTTGGAGGGGCGGGGCGGGGCGGGGCGAGGTACGGTGGAGCCCACGGGCCTCGTGCACCGCGCCATGCCAACAAACTTTTCCCATTTATTGAATTCCATCAAAGCGCGCGCGCTGTGGCGTTGCGACGCGGAGGCCCGCGTGAGACCCACAGACTGGTCCTGGCCCTTCACCGGTCGCCGTCTCATCGTCACTACTAAGATACAACGTGGACTATGGGTGACCCATGAGAGTGTGCACTGTAAAAAGCTTGCGAAGGATTGCAAAGGATTGCAAAGGATTCGGAAGCGTTGTAAAATGATTTGCATTGCTAACTAAATCCTTCATATTGCGAACAAATTCTTCGCACCTTACGAAGAAAACTGTTTGAAACGCTGCAAAGAATTAGTTCGTAACCTTGCAAACTATTTCTTTGCAACTTACGAAAAAAATAGTTTGCAATGCAAACTTCCTTACAATGCTTCAAAATTATATGCAAGAATTTCGAAGAGCGAATGGCGAAAATTTCTCCTGTAGGCCCGGCTTATACACTAGCGTCAGTTCCATCAAATGACATATTAGAAGTAGAATACAATTTTATTCTAGCAAAAAGGTGCTGTACAGTTTGTAAAGTCAATACACCACAGTGTTGCGGGTTTGCCTACCCGATCTGCCCGGGCGCCATAGCCCCACAGTTACAGCCTTACTAAGCGAAATAACAAATCCTTCGCAATTGCGAAGCGTTTGCTTTCGTTTTGTTACTACAGAGCAGTGTTTCGCATTTGCTAAGGATTTGACATTTTGCTTCTTAAGGTTTTAACAGTACCTACCCTTGGGTATGCAAACCCGCAACACTGGGGAGTATTAGCCTTTACACTCGGTACATCCTGAATCCCACGCTACTCGACGTGCGTGCCTGCAACAACATCCTATCTGCTAAATGTGACGTCACAACCACTCACCTCTGTCGGCGACAGGGGAGAGGTAGAGAGGGGAAATGACGCATTTAGCAGATAGGATGTTGTTGGAGGCACACGCCGCACCAAGGAGGTTCACGCAGTCCATAGTTTCAATATTACCTCATAAATATTTCATGGGATGTCAGCTTTGTTGCGTTAGAAGGGGCTCACAAGCGCTAGGCCTCTGATATGCGCCCATTTGCCCGCAATCGGCTATAGGAAGGCAGATTTCTGAGGAGTCAGAAGGAAAGCAGCAAACTACTGTAAAAAGTATCACGGACAACTGTGCGTAAATACCGTCAATTTAGCTAACGGTAACTGTGTTCCTTATTTTCGTGCCCGCTTTCCCAAAGCCCAAGCAAAACTACAGTAGGTGACATGAACGGGAAAAGTACACTGGAAAAACAAAGGTGAGATGTCCTACCTTTCCAGGGGTGTTAAACTCGTTTTAGGGGTGCTAAAGAGTATATTTTAAGTTTCTTCAAAATATTTTCTATATGAGCAAACCAATCACATTTTGAGATTCATTATCGCATTCCTCCGCGTCAAACGAGCCTACATGTGATAGGGTTCAGATAAGCGGTCAGCAAATGAAAAGCAAGTCAAAAAGTAGAAAAATGAAATTAATCTATGCCATTTTTGAATAGAACCCCATCATATGTACCGGGTGTTTCATAAAAGACACAGGTGCGGGCGGGTTTGCCTAACCCGCTCTGCCCGTAAGGCGCCATCGCCCCTTGGGTAGGCAAACCCGCCCGCCCTATGTCTTTTATGAAACACCCGGTAGGCTCGTTTGACGCGGAATTTCGCGTAGATTACAAAAATAGGTCTCAGAATCCAATTTTGTTCCATGGGAAAGAAATATTTCGAAAAAACATAAATTGTAATGCCTTTGGAGCTTTAACGCCTTTTACAGGTAGGATATCCTACCTTTGTTTTACCAGTGTGCTGCTGATTTGAATACGGTACTTTTCAATTTGGGTCCGGACAGAGCTTACGGTGTTCCGTACTCTCTTTCGTTAGAAGGGTATACAGTCATAAGTCATCCAAGTACGGAACGCGATACGGGGAAAACCCGTTCCCACTGAGATAAAAAAAAAAAAAACCTTTCGGGATATTGGGGGAAATTAAAACAATATGCCCATGGATTCAAATTTGTATCATCTGCGTCCAAAGATCCGTTCTTTGACAGACCTCACTGTGAGCCCCTCCCCCTCGCTCTGAGGGTCTCATCCCCGCGATTGTTTCCTGATTATTATTCATCAGGGAAGGCGGGCGGCAGCGGGAGTGCATCCAGCCCCTGGCTCAAAGGGCGGCAGGGAGGGAAATATTTAAGTCTGAGATTTAATTCCCGTCGGCACCTGGTGCACCCTGCTGCTGCCGACGAGCCGGCTGAGCTCGAGTAGGACGGGGCGGGGCGGGGCGGGGCGGGGCGGGGGCCCGCGGGGACCAGGCCGGCCGATCAGAGAGTTGTAATGAGCTCCTGTATTGACACTGGCCCTACGCCCCACCACTCCCCGCCCGCCTCGCCGCCCTCCAGGCCAGTCAACTTTACTTTCGTGTTGGCGTTGTTTGATGTGACGGAGCGAAACGTTGTAGAGACAAAAGTGGGGCGAAAGAGGAGAGACCCCCCACCAACCCCCACGACCCTATAACGCACGCGCAACCTATAGGGCGCTACACCGCAAAACTAACAACCTGCAAGTTTTGTCCCTTTCCGGATTAAGAAATGTAACGGCAAAGTGGATGTTAAAGCTTTGAGAAAACCCGAAATTATGTGGTAGAGTGAAAACTTTGAGCATTCTTTTATTATTTCATTTTTGTTGCAAATTTACCTTTC